CCTTCCCTCCCTCCCTCCCTTCCTCTCTCATTCTCACCTTCCCTCCCTCCCTCCCTCTCTCTTTCACTCTCTCTCTCTCTCTCTCTCTCTCTCTCTCTCTCTCTCTCTCTCTCTCTCTCTCTCTCTCTCTCTCTCTCTCTCTCTCTCTCTCTCTCTCTCTCTCTCTCTCTCTCTCTCTCTCTCTCTCTCTCTCTCTCTCTCTCTCTCTCTCTCTCTCTCTCTCTCTCTCTCTCTCTCTCTCTCTCTCTCTCTCTCTCTCTCTCTCTCTCTCTCTCTCTCTCTCTCTCTCTCTCTCTCTCTCTCTCTCTCTCTCTCTCTCTCTCTCTCTCTCTCTCTCTCTCTCTCTCTCTCTCTCTCTCTCTCTCTCTCTCTCTCTCTCTCTCTCTCTCTCTCTCTCTCTCTCTCTCTCTCTCTCTCTCTCTCTCTCTCTCTCTCTCTCTCTCTCTCTCTCTCTCTCTCTCTCTCTCTCTCTCTCTCTCTCTCTCTCTCTCTCTCTCTCTCTCTCTCTCTCTCTCTCTCTCTCTCTCTCTCTCTCTCTCTCTCTCTCTCTCTCTCTCTCTCTCTCTCTCTCTCTCTCTCTCTCTCTCTCTCTCTCTCTCTCTCTCTCTCTCTCTCTCTCTCTCTCTCTCTCTCTCTCTCTCTCTCTCTCTCTCTCTCTCTCTCTCTCTCTCTCTCTCTCTCTCTCTCTCTCTCTCTCTCTCTCTCTCTCTCTCTCTCTCTCTCTCTCTCTCTCTCTCTCTCTCTCTCTCTCTCTCTCTCTCTCTCTCTCTCTCTCTCTCTCTCTCTCTCTCTCTCTCTCTCTCTCTCTCTCTCTCTCTCTCTCTCTCTCTCTCTCTCTCTCTCTCTCTCTCTCTCTCTCTCTCTCTCTCTCTCTCTCTCTCTCTCTCTCTCTCTCTCTCTCTCTCTCTCTCTCTCTCTCTCTCTCTCTCTCTCTCTCTCTCTCTCTCTCTCTCTCTCTCTCTCTCTCTCTCTCTCTCTCTCTCTCTCTCTCTCTCTCTCTCTCTCTCTCTCTCTCTCTCTCTCTCTCTCTCTCTCTCTCTCTCTCTCTCTCTCTCTCTCTCTCTCTCTCTCTCTCTCTCTCTCTCTCTCTCTCTCTCTCTCTCTCTCTCTCTCTCTCTCTCTCTCTCTCTCTCTCTCTCTCTCTCTCTCTCTCTCTCTCTCTCTCTCTCTCTCTCTCTCTCTCTCTCTCTCTCTCTCTCTCTCTCTCTCTCTCTCTCTCTCTCTCTCTCTCTCTCTCTCTCTCTCTCTCTCTCTCTCTCTCTCTCTCTCTCTCTCTCTCTCTCTCTCTCTCTCTCTCTCTCTCTCTCTCTCTCTCTCTCTCTCTCTCTCTCTCTCTCTCTCTCTCTCTCTCTCTCTCTCTCTCTCTCTCTCTCTCTCTCTCTCTCTCTCTCTCTCTCTCTCTCTCTCTCTCTCTCTCTCTCTCTCTCTCTCTCTCTCTCTCTCTCTCTCTCTCTCTCTCTCTCTCTCTCTCTCTCTCTCTCTCTCTCTCTCTCTCTCTCTCTCTCTCTCTCTCTCTCTCTCTCTCTCTCTCTCTCTCTCTCTCTCTCTCTCTCTCTCTCTCTCTCTCTCTCTCTCTCTCTCTCTCTCTCTCTCTCTCTCTCTCTCTCTCTCTCTCTCTCTCTCTCTCTCTCTCTCTCTCTCTCTCTCTCTCTCTCTCTCTCTCTCTCTCTCTCTCTCTCTCTCTCTCTCTCTCTCTCTCTCTCTCTCTCTCTCTCTCTCTCTCTCTCTCTCTCTCTCTCTCTCTCTCTCTCTCTCTCTCTCTCTCTCTCTCTCTCTCTCTCTCTCTCTCTCTCTCTCTCTCTCTCTCTCTCTCTCTCTCTCTCTCTCTCTCTCTCTCTCTCTCTCTCTCTCTCTCTCTCTCTCTCTCTCTCTCTCTCTCTCTCTCTCTCTCTCTCTCTCTCTCTCTCTCTCTCTCTCTCTCTCTCTCTCTCTCTCTCTCTCTCTCTCTCTCTCTCTCTCTCTCTCTCTCTCTCTCTCTCTCTCTCTCTCTCTCTCTCTCTCTCTCTCTCTCTCTCTCTCTCTCTCTCTCTCTCTCTCTCTCTCTCTCTCTCTCTCTCTCTCTCTCTCTCTCTCTCTCTCTCTCTCTCTCTCTCTCTCTCTCTCTCTCTCTCTCTCTCTCTCTCTCTCTCTCTCTCTCTCTCTCTCTCTCTCTCTCTCTCTCTCTCTCTCTCTCTCTCTCTCTCTCTCTCTCTCTCTCTCTCTCTCTCTCTCTCTCTCTCTCTCTCTCTCTCTCTCTCTCTCTCTCTCTCTCTCTCTCTCTCTCTCTCTCTCTCTCTCTCTCTCTCTCTCTCTCTCTCTCTCTCTCTCTCTCTCTCTCTCTCTCTCTCTCTCTCTCTCTCTCTCTCTCTCTCTCTCTCTCTCTCTCTCTCTCTCTCTCTCTCTCTCTCTCTCTCTCTCTCTCTCTCTCTCTCTCTCTCTCTCTCTCTCTCTCTCTCTCTCTCTCTCTCTCTCTCTCTCTCTCTCTCTCTCTCTCTCTCTCTCTCTCTCTCTCTCTCTCTCTCTCTCTCTCTCTCTCTCTCTCTCTCTCTCTCTCTCTCTCTCTCTCTCTCTCTCTCTCTCTCTCTCTCTCTCTCTCTCTCTCTCTCTCTCTCTCTCTCTCTCTCTCTCTCTCTCTCTCTCTCTCTCTCTCTCTCTCTCTCTCTCTCTCTCTCTCTCTCTCTCTCTCTCTCTCTCTCTCTCTCTCTCTCTCTCTCTCTCTCTCTCTCTCTCTCTCTCTCTCTCTCTCTCTCTCTCTCTCTCTCTCTCTCTCTCTCTCTCTCTCTCTCTCTCTCTCTCTCTCTCTCTCTCTCTCTCTCTCTCTCTCTCTCTCTCTCTCTCTCTCTCTCTCTCTCTCTCTCTCTCTCTCTCTCTCTCTCTCTCTCTCTCTCTCTCTCTCTCTCTCTCTCTCTCTCTCTCTCTCTCTCTCTCTCTCTCTCTCTCTCTCTCTCTCTCTCTCTCTCTCTCTCTCTCTCTCTCTCTCTCTCTCTCTCTCTCTCTCTCTCTCTCTCTCTCTCTCTCTCTCTCTCTCTCTCTCTCTCTCTCTCTCTCTCTCTCTCTCTCTCTCTCTCTCTCTCTCTCTCTCTCTCTCTCTCTCTCTCTCTCTCTCTCTCTCTCTCTCTCTCTCTCTCTCTCTCTCTCTCTCTCTCTCTCTCTCTCTCTCTCTCTCTCTCTCTCTCTCTCTCTCTCTCTCTCTCTCTCTCTCTCTCTCTCTCTCTCTCTCTCTCTCTCTCTCTCTCTCTCTCTCTCTCTCTCTCTCTCTCTCTCTCTCTCTCTCTCTCTCTCTCTCTCTCTCTCTCTCTCTCTCTCTCTCTCTCTCTCTCTCTCTCTCTCTCTCTCTCTCTCTCTCTCTCTCTCTCTCTCTCTCTCTCTCTCTCTCTCTCTCTCTCTCTCTCTCTCTCTCTCTCTCTCTCTCTCTCTCTCTCTCTCTCTCTCTCTCTCTCTCTCTCTCTCTCTCTCTCTCTCTCTCTCTCTCTCTCTCTCTCTCTCTCTCTCTCTCTCTCTCTCTCTCTCTCTCTCTCTCTCTCTCTCTCTCTCTCTCTCTCTCTCTCTCTCTCTCTCTCTCTCTCTCTCTCTCTCTCTCTCTCTCTCTCTCTCTCTCTCTCTCTCTCTCTCTCTCTCTCTCTCTCTCTCTCTCTCTCTCTCTCTCTCTCTCTCTCTCTCTCTCATTTTCCGGGTGTACTTCGAGCTCCTCATTCTCTAGGTCTGTTTCACACTCATTATTCAGATCTGTTTTCTGCTCCTCATTCTTTGGGTCTGTTTTCTGCTCATTCTTCACGCCTGTTTCACTTTCCTTATCCTCCAGGTCCCTTTCGCGCTCCTCGTGATTAAAATCTGCATTATGCTTTTTATTCTTCGGCTTTGGTCCAAGCGCCTCATTTTCCAAGTTTGTTTTCTGCTCATTCTGAAGGTCTGTTTCACGTTCCTCATTCCCCTGGTCTGTTTCGCATTCCTCATTCCCGTGGTCTGTTTCGCATTCTTCCTTTTTCAGGTCTGTTTTACCTTCCTCGTTCTTCTGATCTGTTTCACATTCCTCCTTTTTCAGGTCTGTTTTAAGTTCTTCATTCTTCAAATTCGTTTCATATTTCTCCTTTTTCTGGTCTGTTTCAAATTTCTCATTCTTCAAGATTATTTCACATTCCTCCTTTTTCATGTCTGCTTCGCTTTCCTTATTCATCAGTTCAGTTTTGTGCTTCTCATCCGTCGGGTCTGGTTTATGCTCATTATTCTTCGGGTTTGGTTCGCGCTCCTCATTCTTCGGGTCTTTTTGGTGCTCCTCAATTTTAAGGTCTGTTTTGTGGCCCTCATTTTTAAGGTCTGTTTCGAGGCTCTCATTTTCAGGGTCTGATTTGTGGCCCTCATTTTTAAGGCCTGTTTTGTGGCTCTCATTTTCAAGGTTTGTTTTGTGGCCCCCATTTTCAAGGTTTGTTTTGTGGCCCTCATTTTTAAGGTCTGTCTCACACTCATTCTTTAGGCCTGTTTTGCTGTCCTCATGCGGCGGGTGTGTTTCGCGCTCGTCATCCATCTTATCTGATTTTTGCTCCTCACTTCTTACATCTGTTTGTTGCTCTTCTTTCATCACACCTATGTTGTAATCCTCATTCCTCGAATCTCCACCATGTTCCTTATTCTTTGAGTCTGTGTCGTATTCCTCATTCGAATCTTTGCTGTGTATCCTCTCATTCTTAGGAACGCTGTCCTCAACCTTCGGCTCTGTGATGTGGTGTTCATACTCTGGGTCCGTTTTGTGTTCCTCATTCATCGGGAATGCACTGTGCTTCTCATTCTTTAGGTTTATACATTCCTCCTCATTCCCCAGATCGGTGATGTCCTCCTCATTCCCCAGGGCTGTGTTGTGCTCCTCATTTCTCGGCTCAAGGCTGGAGTTCTCATTATCTGGGTCTGCACTTTGCTCCCAATTCGTCACGCGCACTTCGTTCCCCGGCTCTGCGTCATGTCCCTCGTTCTTTGGGCCTGTGCTACGCCCATGTTTCTGATCCTCGGCCTCCTCTTCATTCTCCTCACTCACTACGTCTGCGATGTACACTTCATTCTCATTTTCCAGTTCAGTTTTGTGCTTCTCATCCGTCGGGTCTGGTTTATGCTCATTATTCTTCGGGTTTGGTTCACGCTCCTCATTCTTCGGGTCTTTTTGGTGCTCCTCAATTTTAAGGTCTGTTTTGTGGCCCTCATTTTTAAGATCTGTTTCGAGGCTCTCATTTTCAGGGTCTGATTTGTGGCCCTCATTTTCAAGGCTTGTTTTGTGGCTCTCATTTTCAAGGTTTGTTTTGTGGCCCTCATTTTCAAGGTTTGTTTTGTGGCTCTCATTTTCAAGGTTTGTTTTGTGGCCCTCATTTTTAAAGTCTGTTTCACACTCATTCTTTAGGCCTGTTTTGCTGTCCTCATGCGGCGGGTGTGTTTCGCGCTCGTCATCCATCATATCTGATCTTTGCTCCTCACTTCTTACATCTGTTTGTTGCTCTTCTTTCATCACACCTATGTTGTAATCCTCATTCTTCGAATCTCCACCATGTTCCTTATTCTTTGAGTCTGTGTCGTATTCCTCATTCGAATCTTTGCTGTGTATCCTCTCATTCTTAGGAACGCTGTCCTCAACCTTCGGCTCTGTGATGTGGTGTTCATACTCTGGGTCCGTTTTGTGTTCCTCATTCATCGGGAATGCACTGTGCTTCTCATTCTTTAGGTTTATACATTCCTCCTCATTCCCCAGATCGGTGATGTCCTCCTCATTCCCCAGGGCTGTGTTGTGCTCCTCATTTCTCGGCTCAAGGCTGGAGTTCTCATTATCTGCGTCTGCGCTTTGCTCCCAATTCGTCACGCGCACTTCGTTCTCCGGCTCTGCGTCATGTCCCTCGTTCTTTGGGCCTGTGCTACGCCCATGTTTCTGATCCTCGGCCTCCTCTTCATTCTCCTCACTCACTACGTCTGCGTTGTACACTTCATTCTCATTTTCCAGTTCAGTTTTGTGCTTGTTCATCGAATATGCGCCGTACTCATCATCGTGGTGTTCCTCATGATCTGAATCTACACTGCATCCCTCACTCTCCAGATCGGCGTGTTTTATGTCCTCCTTATCTGTGTTGTGTTCCTCATTCTTCAAGTCCGCCCGGTGTTCCTCCTTCATGTCAAAGGTCCTAAGCTGTTCCTCATCTTTCAGTCCATCCTCACTCTTAAGGTCTTTGGCGTGTCCCTCATTCTTGAAGTGTTTGATGTCTCCTCCATTCTTCGGGTTTGTACTGTCTCCCTCATTATTTAGGTCTTCAGTAGTTCCCGCATTCTTCAGATCTTTGCTGTCTCTCCCATTCTTCGGATTTTTACTGTCTCCACCATTTTTCAGATCTGTGGGGCGTGCCTCATTCTGCAGGTCTTTACTGTCTCCCTCATCTTTTTTATCTTTACAGTCCCCTACACTCCTCAGGTTTCTACTCTCTCCCTCATTCTCTGGGTCTTTACTGTCTGTTTCATTCTTCAAGTCTCTATTCCCCTCCTCATTCTCCGTACCTTTACTACCTCCTTCACTCTTCGGGTCTTTACCATCTCCTCTGCTCTTCAACTCTCTATTCTCTCCCTCATTCTTCGAATCTTTACCCTCATTCTCGAAATCCCTGTCGAGTCCCTCCATCTCACTCTCCGAGATGCGTCCCTCCTTCTTCAGGGCCAAGCTGTCGTCGCCTTCCATTAAGTTCATGTTGCTTGCCTCGTTTCTCGAGCCTCCGCTATGCCCCTTGTCGTCCTGCTCTGCGCTTTGTATTGGCCTGGGGCAGTTCAGCCTGCTTCCTGCAAAAGACGTAGAAGAGTGAGGTGGCGATGATGGGGTGGGGGTAGACAGGAGGGGAGGAGGATTGGGGGGGTAGGCAGGAGGGGAGGATTGGGGGGTGGTAGGGAGACGGGAGAGGGGTAGGGGAGGGAGAATTGGGGTGGGGGTGGTAGGGAAACGTGAGAGGGGTAAGGGATGGAGAAGGGTGTATAGGTGGTAGGGAGAAGGGGGGTGGGGGTGGTAGGGAGACGGGCGAGGGGTAGGGAAGGGAGAAGAGGGGGTGGGAGTGGTAGGGAAACGGGCGAGGGATAGGGGAGGGAGAAGGGGGGTGGAGGTGGTAGGGAAACGGAAGAGGGGTAGGGGAGGGAAAAGGGGGGTGGGGGAGGTAGGGAAACGGAAGATGGGTAGGGAAGGGAAAAGGGGGGTGGGGGAGGTAGGGAGACGGGAGAGGGGGTGGTTTAGTAGGGAAATGGGCGAGGGGTAGGGGAGGGAGAAGGGGGGTGGGGGTGGTAGGGAGATGGGGGAGGGGTAGGGGAAGCAGAAGGGAGAGGGGGTGGTTTAGTAGGGAGACAGGAAGAGGTAGGTGGGGGAGGGAGACGGGAGAGGGGGTGGGAGGTAAGGACAAGGGAAAGGCGGTGGGAGAGGGAGGAGGGGGGGGGTCGGGTAGTAGGGAGAAGGGAGAGGGGGTAGGAAGAGGGAGAGAGAAGAGAGAGGGGGTTGGGGTGGGGGGAAAGGGAAGAAGGAAA